GGTGGGCATGCTTTGGTTCTAATGCACCTTTTCTTCAAAAATTAGCTTTCAAAATACTAGGACAACCTACTTCATCATCCATCATGCTCAGAAAGGAATTGGAGTTCTTAATCTTTTATTAATTCATTTAGAAGAAACAAACTGCTTCCAAAGCGAGCGAAGGATTTGGTATTTGTTCATAACAATCTTCGTCTTTTATCACGAGCTTCTAAGCAATATATGTTTTTAAAATATTGTTTTCTATCTTAATTATTCTAGAACTTTGGTACTTGCACTTTTAATTTCAAGATTGTGGTTGTTTGACTTATTTCTCATTTTAAATTAATGACTTATCGACTACATGTCTACATTTATATTTCGAGATGCACTAGTGTATATGAGAAATATTATGATGTATATGTAATGAATGGGATATATGTATATATAGGATATATATATATATATCCAAAAAATTATTTTTTTTGTATATTTCATAGGATATTATATGTATATATTTCCCAAAAAAAATCTATTTTTAATATTTATAAATACATCCCTGTAACTTTTAATATTTGTAAATACACCCCCATAACTTTTAATATTTATAAATATGGCCGTATCCGTATCCTACTTTTTTTTGTTTTACCGTATCCCCGCACCCGTGTTCGCGTTTCCGCGATTCCGCGTACCGGTATCGGTGCTACATAGAACTAAACTATATCAAATCTAGAGAGACACAGAACAATAACAGCGACTAGCGGTTCTTTTGTTGTACAATAACAATACAAAACACACACATTCCAATCCGATCCCTAAATAAGTTTAATCAACATCCCTAAATAAACAATTGATAAAATACAATTACCTGTGAGCCGGAGCTAATTCATTAACTATAATCAAATAAAACACACAAACGAAAATTCAAATTATTAAAACAGACACGACAGACACAAAGGGGACAGACATAGATGAAAACACAACAAAGCTAAAGAACACTTCAAAAACATAATTGAAAAATGAACTGACCTTTATCTATGTGATGCGGGTCGGAGCAGTCCACGGCGAGCCGGAGCAGTCAACGACGAGCCGGAGAAATCCCCGGCGAGCCAGAGCCGTCAACCTCGTTCCACAGATTTTGCAGCCGAGCGACCAGGGACGGAGAAGAAGACGACGACAAGCGTACGATGGCGGAAATGGAGCAGCTTCGGCGGCAGCAGACGCACGGACAGTCGGCGGCGGTAGCTGATTTCCTCGATCTGGTTGGTGCAGCTGCTATCGACGTTGAAGCTAGGGATTTGATCGTCAAATCCGCGCCGGGTGTCGAATAGGTTAGGGTTAATATTGGAGGCGCTTCTTAGCGAAAAGCACTGCACGCATCGGCCAATTTAAAAAAAAAACGGAATATGAGAGGCGCTTCTTTGCCTAAGCGCCGCACGCGTCTAATTAATTCAAAAAACAAACCCGGAAGCCAAATGGAGGCGCTTCTATGAAGAAACCGCCACACGGGAAACAATTTTTTTAAAAAAATATTTTCGGAAATACAATGGAGGCGTTTTGGCCTATAAGCGCCGCACGCTTTCGAAATAAAATAAAATAAGAAAATACCCGCCTTACAGAGGTGCTTGTACTGAAAAACGCCTCAAACGAAGCACCTCTATTTGACGTTTTTCGACTAGTGAATGTAGGGGTGGAACTTCTCGATGTCCAACCGGCCCGGCTGAGGACGGCTGATAACCGCTTTCGCGGCGTTGTAGTAAAACGGAGTCTAACCTTTCGGTTTTTCCCCAAGTATCGTGTCTCTTGAGGAATGTCGGAGGAGTTTCTTGATTTTAAGCTCAGTCACAGGTTATCGCAAATTATTGGAAGCTTTCAAAATTAAAACTTTTGATTGATTTTCTAAACTAATTTTTGAAAAATAAAGTAATTAAACTATGCAAATACTAATGATGGCTCAAAAATAAACTAAATGAAAAATATTAAACTCTAAATGGATTGATCAAAGAAGGGCAGTGAATTGAAGAATTAGAAATGATATATTCTTGGACCTAGTAGTTAGGGGAATTAAAACAACAATTGGACTAATAATTTCTTTTCTCACAGACAAGAATAGAAATTACTTTTATTAATTTATCCTATTTCTAGGTTTCATCAATGTATTCAAAAATGGCTGGCTTGAATTAAATTCTAATCTCATAGACAAGACAGAAATAATTCTCCAATATTTTGTTCAATAAAAATAGCCAAATTCATTAACTAATTAAACTCATTAATTAAGTAATTTGAATTTAATTCTCATAGACAAGATGTAAATCTATTTCATTAAAATTTCCTATTTCTAGGCCTTATTAACGTGCTTAAATATGGTAGGCTCAAATTATTTTCTAATCCCATAGACAAGTTAGAAATAATTTTCCAAAAGTTAATTAATGAAAATGGCTAACAATTATTAATTACTAATTCATCAATTTGAATAACTAGCCCAATTAATTAATTTTAACTCCTAATTTTCGGCTAACAAGTCAATCCATATTCTTTTACTCAATTCATGCCCAAAACAATTTTAGCTACTAAACATTATTTTTGCATTCAACAATATGGTAAATAAATTAACCATTAACAAGGAATTAAACATGTATAATAGAAAAAATTAATCAAAAATAAGATCTGGTCAAAATAAACTTTGTGGAACTACAATATGACTTTTTGGAATTTTTAACGAATTGTTAAACCTAAAATCCAATTTTAACCCTAATTGATAATTTTCCCACTTTTAATTATAAAATACAAAAGGCAATTTAAAATAGGCTAAATTCGTTCTAAATTTTCTATTGACTACTGGCGGTGATATTACAGTGAAATAAACTGGAATTAGGGCCGAAACTATTTTTTTTACTCTTTTTAAGTAATTAATTTAATTTATGCAATAATAACAACTAATTACTGAAATTAATTAAAAATTACTTCTGCTTCGGGAAAATTAACTTTCTTCAGATAAATAACAACCTTGAGGCTAGTAAACAACTATATAATTAATTGGAATGAATTCAACATCAACAACTAGTTTATTTAATTTTTGGAAGAAAATGCGAAATACTTGATAAATATTTTGGAAAAATTCAAAGAACAGATCGAGAAAACAAAGCACATATTCAGACTCTACTCGTTGAGAAGATGAAAATACATATAAAGAACTTACAAATTGGAGCTAAAATGAAAAAGATATGAAAGATTGAAGTTGAAGGTGCAACAATGGTGGAAATCCGAGCTTTGAAGAGGAAGAAAAAGACCTTTTTGAACTAGTTTCGGGCTAAGAATGGTGTGTTTGGGATGAGGAAAAATCGGGCTATTTATAGCAGCAAAAATATCGTAGGCGGCCAACCAGGCGGCCGCCTGCCACCTTGCTCCGGCCGCCTTCCGTCCCATCACCGGCAGTCAAACGTGCCGCACGTCACTTCACTGCAGGCGGCCACGGAAGGCGGCCGCCTGATGTTTCTGTCTGGCCGCCTGCTGTCTTTTCACACCGACGGTCGTTGGCTTTGTCGTCTTTTCCCGTAGGCGGCCGCGAAGGCCTCCATTTTTGGCCGCCTATTTGGCCGCCTTCGGTCGAAGCCTTCGGTCTTCTTGCCGCTTCGAGTCAAAGTCTAATTTTTTATTTTTTCGTAGGCGGCCGCGAAGGCCTCCATTTTTGGCTGCCTATTTGGCCGCCTATGAGGTTGTTTGACCGTCTTATTCTGTATTTTGTGCTCTTCAACTTTCCCTTTTGAACTACTTTGAAATTCTGCTTCCTTCTTTCGGTATGATATCATTTTTCACTGAAATTGACTCATTGTGTGCTTAATTGACCCGGAATTTCGTCAAAGATATCATGAACGTGGTTTTTACCTGATTTTATGAAACTTGAACCAAAATATATAAAACATGCCTTGTTTTTCTATTTTCAATCCAAAATCGCCTAATTTTGATACGAAAAATAAGCACAAAAATGGACTTATCAACGGCTGTAGCAAACCCAGACTGTCCGAGAGGGTTGGGACGACAAATCTTCATTCGACGTTGCTGCTGGACTCGTCGACGACGAAGTTGGACTGCTGCGGCAAGGACTGCATGCTCGGAACCGTTGGTGTCCATGTAATAATAGGTGGGACCCATGTAGACGGCGGCACAGATGGAAAACTTGAACCCGGCTGCTCGCTTGAGATGGAGAACGACGCTAGAGTGGTAGATGAGCTTGGTGTGGAACCTGCGCTCAGCCCAGAAGAGTCCGTCATCGGCATGGATCCGGCGGCGGTATCGTGAGAGGCGGCTGTGGCGGTTCCTTCGGAAAACATCGGACCGAAAAAAATTAGGTAGGTTAAAATCCTAAATGCTCTGATATCATGTGAGAATAATGGAATAATGACTTCCCAAATAGGCACCTCTGGATGTCATATATATAATAGAATAAGTGTCCAAAATAAAACAGGAAAGTAACAAAATATGGAAACCCTATTTTAGCTTATTAATACATTATTTTAAAATACAGTCAAATTAGAATATGTTATTAGTACAAAGAGTCCAATGTTGTAATTAAAAGAAAATAGAAGTACTATGATGAGAATGTGAGGGTACCGGTTAGATTTAAAGAGTTAAGATGGGGACTTGGACTTTTTTCTATAAAAAAGGGTACGTAGTACGGTAGTACTACCTTCGTCCCGATATGATTGTCCCATTTGACCTTATTGATCCGTCCTACTAAGATTGTATCATACCAGATTTGGTAAAGTTTGTGTGACTCTGAATCATTCTTACTTTATTCTTACTTTATCAATTTAATATCAACCACATAAAACACTTTTTATTAATTTACGTGTCAGTCCATTTTGTCACATTGTTGACGGGATGGAGGGAGTAGTATCTTAACCACGCTTTTGTGATTTGTAAATTAAAGGGCACAATTAGAAAAAGATAAAAGACGCGTCTCTTGATAAAATAGTGCTCTGTATCAATGTATCATAACACAGAGAAGCATCGATCTGTAGGATAATTATTTGGCGCTGTGGCGCATCATATTGAAGACATGTCTCTTCACGAAACAACGTCTTTATCCTAATAAAAATGAACAATGAAGATCGATCAGATGTGAAAGAGCATCAACACAAACATGTCCGCCACGGCTGAGAACGCCAGCCGCAAGAGGAAGATGAAGGAAGTTGCTGAACAACCACCGCCGCTGCCGCCGCCGCCGCGCTTCACCTATTCGCCGGCGACACAGCTGCAGCTGTTCCCCCCTCATCAAGCGGAGGCATCTTCATCTGCCAACCCGGTGCCTTCGCATTTCGACACCGCTCTTCGCTTGAGCAGCAGCATCCCCGCCCGTCAACAGGGCAGGGATGAAGATTTGCAGTGGCTGTATAAACCTGTGAAGTCGTGCACTACATTGTTGCTCACAGGAGACGGCAACAAGGAGATGGATGGTCTTCATCATAGTCCATTGTTGCTCCCCGGAGGAGACGGGAAGAAGAAGGTGGAGGAGGAGCTTCATCATAATCTCCAGAAACATTACCCTATGATCCAAAATGCTGTCAAAAGCTATGTAAGTGCCCTCGCCCGAGCGTATATATTTAGAGTACTATCTATGAAAATATTGTTGGTTACAAATACTGCTACGTACGTTAGTATCTAGTATAAGTACTACGGTATCTTTTTTCTGAAAAGGTTCCTCATATTAATTTTTAATTACTACCTCCATCTCAGATTGATTTCCAAAATTGATTTTCTTGATTTATAAACTTTGGACAATGATTTTTAATTACTACCTTCATCCTAAATTGATTTGCAAAAATGATTTTTCATGATCAACCAATTTCATTGTATTCATTTAATTATGATATCAATTTTTATTATATTATAATTTGGAGTTTGCAACATTGAAGAGATTTAAATGTAGTTTCTAAATATATAAATTTTAATTCTTAAAATTGAATTATTTATCAATGTAGAGGATTTAACTTTAACATTGACTCACTAAATAATGTTGACTTTGCAAATCAACTTGAGACGGAAGAAGTATTATATTTGTATATAATTTATAAATTTTATACTTTTATGAAAATATATTGATGAATAAATAACATTTTGATATAATTTTCATATAAAAAGGGAGATTTACCGAAATAGGAGTAAATAAAAGGATAATTACAACAATAGGAGTTTAAAGTTTAAATTCCCAAAATAGGACAAACTCTTCCTATTATACCCTTTCCTTTGTCCTTGATAATAGGATTTTTAAACAATCATTATAAAATATAAAAAAAAATCAAAAAAAAAATAAAAATCATAAAAATAATTAAAAAATATATAGACCCAAACCACCACCTCAGCCACCTTCCAGCACCGCCACCTCCGGTTGCCGAAAAAGATTGCCAAGTTGGGGGGAAAATGTCATCATGATGGCAATTTTGAAGAGAAAGCAAGAGAAAACTGGATATTTTCAAAGAGTAAAAATGTCATCTTTATGACATTTTCAGAGAAATGTGGCTTTTTTTTTACATAAGATGGCATTTTTTCCGGAGACCGAAGTCGGTGGTGCTGGGAGGTAGAGGACGCGTTGGCAATGACTTACATATTTTTTAAATATTTTTTTAGGTATTTTATTTTATTTTTTGGACTTTTTTAAATTTTTTAAAATATTTTTTTAATTATTTTTTGTTTTTTTATTTTTATTTTATTTTTTCACATTTTCATTATTATTTTATATATATATTTTTTATTTTTTATATTTTTATTATAAATAAAACTATGATATTCTTATTAATAAAATAAATCTATTGGAAATGATAGGAAGAGGGTAGAATGGGAAGCAGAGAGATATATTAGTCTTATTTTGGGAATAAAAGGATTGTACTCCTATTGTTGAATTTTGGGCTTATTTTACTCCTACTAAGGGCTAATACCCGTATAAAAAATAGTTTTGTATTAAAAAATACTAAGGAGTATAAAACTTTAACAATTTGATACAACATTTTGATATAATTTTCATATACAAAATAACATTAGTCAAAGTTGATTATAATTAACCAAGAAAAGTTAATTTGGGAAACTTTTTCAAGATGAAGGATGAAAGGAGTATAAAGTTTTCAAATTTTATAAGTGAAGGATGATTAACTAAAAAGAAATGGATAAGTGTTGTCTAACCGTATCAATTTTTATTCTCTATACGACTAGGTACATATTGGTCATGTGTATTATTAATTTAATACTAGAGAAAAATCTCAAGATAATGGTCAAGTTATCTTGAATACGTGTAAAATGTTTTTATTCCATATATATACGGCCGTAAGTGTTAGAGTTTTCCAAATTTGATAGTTATTACTCTCATTTAAAATATTAAACTAGAAACACTAAACTAACTAGTACTCTACTGCAATTTCTTGTGTTATTACTAGTGTCATTTCACATAATTTATAGGGATGCATGGGAGACCCAACCATCTATTATCCCTTCAAGCCCTTCAACTCAAAAGAATTGTGAAAAAAGTGACATACTGACATGTGTAGGTTTAATAAAACTATGTAAGAGTAATTGTATTTTTATAAATAGAAATAATTACATTTTTGTGAATAATTTTATTTGGAAAAAAATAACATATTAAGTGGTGAGTCTATATTAGTAACTTGAATTATAGTATTTCGCGTTCAAATTTAGCCATATTGTGATAACTAATTTCAATATTTGTAGTACTTTTGAAAAAATTAAACATCCTATAAAAATGTTTTCTCTATATCTTGTAAGATCACATTGAAAAGGTTCAAGGGCAAGGCCCATAAGGGTTTGAAATCAATGGAGTGAGTTTCAGCTCTGATTATTCCAGGCCCTTCAGCCTCCTTCCCCCACACCCCCCGGAGTAAAGAAAGGTAAGGCGTACAAATCTTACTGTGGGCCGATACAAAAAAAAAAAAAATCCAATGAATTTACAATCATTTTTCAAATTTGGAGTGAGTTGGATCATGACGAAGCGTTTTACCTCTGCCACTACTTTGTGTTTTTACATGAGACAAACCATATATGATATACATTGTACTTCGTATTTGTTTAGCCTGTTTGTTAACACTAAAGTTAGTTATATCTTATTAGCTTATTGCTAACACTCCCGATTGAATTAGTAGAATCGGTTGAAATTTTTGGAAGTCCAAGTGTGAAAATTGGCAAACTGGCTGAAATTTGTTAAATTATGGAAAAATTATACGATATTTACAAATTGTGTATTTTATTGATATTTCTTGTGTATATATATTCAGAAATCTTAACAAACTCACTTGCATATTCAATCGTATTATTAATTCCACTTAAGTGATTTCTAAATTGCTAAATATTTATCCCTTATAGTTTTACACATGAACGTTGTTAACTCTGAGGGTTTGACAACTTTTTTTAAATTGAACAGAATAATGTAGAGAATTTATATATCACGAAGCCACGAGGAATTGTGTGCATTAACCCATAGAGTATTTATATGCATGCAGAGTGATCGGGTGAGGGAGATGAACAGAATAATGTAGAGAATTTATATATCACGAAGCCACGAGGAGTTGTGTGCATTAACCCATAGAGTATTTATATGCATGCAGAGTGATCGGGTGAGGGAGATAATTGAAGAGATGTCAATGCGGCATTTGGAGGTCATTACTATTGCTGAGGAGAGAGCGAAGAAGAACATGAAAGAGACACATGACAAGATGATGGCTAGAGAATTAGAAAAGACAAATCTACTAGAGAAGGTGCTCGCGGGCTACCGAGACCACTTTATGAAATTGGGGCAGAAGTTAACAACTCTGGATCACACCAACGATTCTCTAAGGGCGGTTCTGCACCAAACCGCCCTTCGCGGCGGAGGGAATGGCAGGTCCCTCACAGTACCACACGCGGCAATGTTGGAGGAGGACGCTCAGTCGTCATCGGTAGATCCAGAGCAGTCTGACCCTGCTGTTATAATTACTTGTCGGGTTTGCGGCCGCCGGACTGCGACGGTGTTGCTCTGGCCGTGCCGCCATCTTTGCCTATGTAAGCGTTGCAAGGCTTTTACGAACCGCTGCCCAGTCTGTGAAACGGTGTTCGAAGTCGACGTCGAGATCGACTTTTCTGGCTAAGCTGAATATAGTCAACATGTTGGTCATTTATACTGATTCTTTATTTTTTATTATTTATTACTATGAAATAAATTGGACATAAACCATGTACAGTAATGCTGTGCATTTAATTTTCATTTTGCGACTAGTTTTGTGCAGGTATTTTTTTATAAAATTATTACTAAAATAAAACATATTTACACAAATATGACTAATAGTTACTACAATGTAGTATCATGATAACTTAAGTTTAAAAAATGAATATAAGTTACTATATTTATTTACTCCTTTAGTCATTAGTCATATAAACATGTTTATAGTGTGCATCGTGCTTATTCAAATTAGTTAATAAGTCCATGTTTCGCTTCTCAGGTTAGCTCAAAACGAGTTGAAATATTTTCTAGAAACAATGGCACGGTATTACCTCCTCTCACAAAAATATGACTCAATTTGATTTTTACAAAAAAGTGACCACATCTTATCTGCTCCCAATCGAGATCTAGTTTAATCATTTTGTCCTCACAATCACACAGGAGCAGCCTCCATCTCTAGCGAATGATCCTTCTCTCCACCCAATTGAGAATTACATTAGCAGTATCGCAGTCTCCTTTACCTCTCGTCCATCATCGAACTCACAGCCGCACGCTTCTCTTACAGTCTTCGTCCCCCGCTGCTTTGCTCCGACGGTCGTTATTGACCGTTGCCCAGCTCCAACGGTCAATGGGGAGGTGGATGAGAATAGAACGCCTCCGTCATCATCCATGTAGCCTTAGTTGTCACAGTTGCTGGTTTAATAATAGCAGTTGTGGCGGCATTATTTGTTCCATCTGCGTCGGACGATGACAGTGGCAAAATGGCAGGGGAGCGGCGGCGCGGCTAGATCTGGACAGCTAGTGTTGTGGATGGTAGGTCACGACGTTTGGAGAAGGGGCTGGGGTTGGATAGGTCAGCTAAAGAGCTGGCTGGCCGCCAGGAAGGGTGTTGTGGATGGAGGCTTTGGCAAAAGAGGGGCAGGGGAAGAGGTTGGGGGGCTGGTTGGCTGGGAAGGGGGGGCTAATGGGTTGGAGAGGGGGCTGGTTGGCTAAGGAGGGGGGCTAGTGGGTTGGGGCTGGGGGGCTGGTTGGCTGGGGAAGGGATTGGTGGGTTGGGGAGGGGCAGATGGGTTGGAGAGGGGGGCTAGTTGGCTGGGGAGGGGCCTGGTGGGTTGCGGATGGGGGCTGGTTGGCAGGGGAGGGGCTGGTTGGCTGGGGAGGGTTGGGGAGGGGGCTGGTTGGCAAGGGAGGGAGGGGCTGGGAGGGCTAGTTGGCTGGGGAGGGGTTGGGGAGGGGGCTGATTGGCAGGGGAGGGGCTGATTGGCAGGGGAGGGGCTGGGAGGGGTGCTGGTTTGCTGGGGAGGAGGCGGTGGTGGGCTGGGGAGGGTCCGGTCCCAGTGTGATTACGATTCAGGTGGCAGCGGTCTAGACCTGCACAATTCCGGGCCGGCCCGCCCATATAAATGGGCGGGTTTGGACACATGCTTTAGCCCACCGGGCCGGGCCCGGGCCGGCCCGTTTAAAATATGGGCGGGCTTGGGTTGTAATATAGGTCTGGTCGGGCCTAAAAGCCCGGCCCGTAAACATATTATATTATATATATTATTCTATATATAATTATACATTATATGACTATACGTATAAAACTTAAAATACTTGGAAGTATAATTTCATTACCATGTCATTATTCACAAGTGTCATTATTTTCCATTATTTTCATTATCTCAATGTTTTTACTTTGTTTATAAATAATATTTGGTTTTCATTATTTGATATTTATTGGCATTTGGCAGAGCAGTCTGGGAGATCAATTACTTTCTGGTGAAATGAAGGAATGTCGAGAAGTTCTTGGAATCTTGGGATACCAATTACTTTTTATGTTCTACTATTTAAATTTGAACTGTAATGATATACATTTGTTAAATCTTTTTGGAGATACTCTTGACTATTTCCGCTGCGCATTGTGAATCTGTGATTGTGCTTTTAATTATGGAATATGGATGCTTATTTGGAATTTGGATGCTTTTTATTTTCCAGAATCGTTTTGTGTTTCGCATTTAAACGTATTCTTGTGTTCAAAATGTGTTGTGAGTACATTAATTATTTAATTGCATTTAAAATGTTGTGATGTTATTTTATAAATATTTTCATTTTTTTAACAAAGTTGACAAAAGGATATTTTCCGGGCCCAAAAGCCCGGTGGGCAGCCCGGCCCGCTCTAATGGGCGGGCTTGGACATATGAGGAGGCCCGTTTTACCGGGCCGGGCCGGGCCCGCCCACTACAAGTGGGCAGATTTTTTAGAATAAGCCCGGCCCGAGCCCGGCCCGAGCCCGTGTTTGTGCATGTCTACAGCGGTCAAAGGTGGTGTTTTCTTGGTGTGTATGCGGGACGGATCAACCGTGGTGTCGGTGGTGGAGGGGAGGGAGCTAGGGTGCTCCGAGGCTAGGGACCGGGGGTGAGGTGCACGGGTGACACGGGCTGTGGCTAACCTGATACGGGCGGTGGCTAAAGTAACACGAGCGGTGGCTAAAGTGACACGGGCGGTGTCTAAAGTGACACGGGCGGTGGCTACAGTGACACAGGCGGTGGCTACAGTGACAAGGGCGGTGATTGTAGTAACAGGCGGTGGCTACAGTGACATAAGAGGTGGTTGTAATGACGTGTGTGGTGGTTGTAGTTACAAAAAAACGAACACGTAGTGACATAAAATTTTTGCACTTACATCATGTTTTCTAATTGCACATATATGACCTTCTTGATCACTTTTTTGCCCCTTTTTAAAAGTGGTCACTTTTTGGATAATCCTCTCCTTAATAGCACTACAACACTTCTAAAAAAATTCCCGCTCACTCCTGTCAACCGTCCGATTTCAGTAAACAAAATCTACCCCTTTTACGCCTTCCCCTGTATCCGTCCCTTCATTTCTCAGATCTGAAATTTTCTTCCCAAATCACAACATCAAAAAAACCTAGCCGAATCCCCTTCATTCTCGCCGGACGCTCTTGGTTCCTTCTACGTCTCCCACTTTCCCAGGCTTCTCCCTTCTCCAATTCTCCGTCGTGCTTTCCCTGCATACCAAATCCGCCTTCCCTGCATACCATTTCCGCCTTCCTCGCCATGGAACCACCTGACGTGGTCATCTCCTTTGCTCTTGGTTCCAGTTCTCTTGCGGCAAAGGTTTGATCTCGGAGAGACTACAACACTTTGATTGGATTCACTGCATCAATAGAAGTTCTAGCTGACGTCCGTTCTCCCATCTCCTCTCCATTTATTTGTATGGTGCCTACAAAAAATGTGCATCTCTTCAGTCTTTTCAGCGTCGATTTGATTGTAGTGTTATGGTTTGGAGTTTTCCGATTTTTCATTGTTTTAAGTCTCTCTTTATTGTTGTTCGATTGCAGTGTGTTAAGCAGGAGCTGGAAGATGTCTCACAGGAAGTTTGAGCACCCCAGGCATGGTTCCCTTGGATTTCTTCCTAGGAAGCGTGCTTCTCGACACAGGGGGAAGGGTATGATTTCATTGGTTGTTCCGCTTCAGATTCCTTGACTCTTTTCTTGATTTCTTCCTCACTAACAGGTGTACTTAATTTGTTCAAATAACAGTGTGATTTAGCTGTTCATAATATTTCCATTTCACTAGCTTTTGTGGTGTCTGAATACAATAAGAGAGAAGTAGAATAAAACAGATTGCAACAGAAATTGTGAATCTGTTAGCAAAAAAAGTAGCTAAAGTTGTTTCGTGCTGGTCAACAAAGGCTTTACTTTTACTTGATAATTTTGGGTTCAGGAATATATATTTTGATACAAACAATATTTGAGCATTTCAGTACAATAAGTAGTGATAGCTGTATTTATATCTCATGCATAATGCATTTTGTATAGATAGCATATATCTGTGCTTGTAAAATAGTTTATTGATATCTACAGTCTTCACATTAACTGAGTCAGTATTTGATATGCAGTTAAGGCATTTCCTAAGGATGACCCTTCAAAGCCATGCGGATTGACTGCATTCTTAGGGTACAAGGCAGGCATGACTCACATTGTTAAAGAAGTCGAGAAACCTGGGTCAAGTATGTATCATATTTGTGTTTTTTGCAGTCTCTTATTTGATATGTATGTTGTATGCATTTTAATTGATGAAATTCTGAAGTTTTTCTGTACTTTGCCTTTAGATATTGTCAATTTCTTTGTTCTTATACTCTATGCAGATTGACTGCATTCTTGGGGTACAAGGCAGGCATGACTCACATTGTTAGAGAAGTCGAGAAACCTGGGTCAAGTATGTATCATATTTGTGTTTTTTGCAGTCTCTTATTTGATATGTATGTTGTATGCATTTTTATTGATGAAATTCTGAAGTTTTTCTGTACTTTGACTTTAGATATTGTAAATTTCTTTGTTCTTATACTCTATGCAGATTGACTGCATTCTTGGGGTACAAGGCAGGCATGACTCACATTGTTAGAGAAGTCGAGAAACCTGGGTCAAGTATGTATCATATTTGTGTTTTTTGCAGTCTCTTATTTGATATGTATGTTGTATGCATTTTAATTGATGAAATTCTGAAGTTTTTCTGTACTTTGCCTTTAGATATTGTCAATTTCTTTGTTCTTATACTCTATGCAGATTGACTGCATTCTTGGGGTAGAAGGCAGGCATGACACACATTGTTAGAGAAGTCGAGAAACCTGGGTCAAGTATGTATCATATTTGTGTTTTTTGCAGTCTCTTATTTGATATGTATGTTGTATGCATTTTAATTGATGAAATTCTGAAGTTTTTCTGTACTTTGCCTTTAGATATTGTAAATTTCTTTGTTCTTATACTCTATGCAGATTGACTGCATTCTTGGGGTACAAGGCAGGCATGACTCACATTGTTAGAGAAGTCGAGAAACTTGGGTCAAGTATGTATCATATTTGTGTTTTTTGCAGTCTCTTATTTGATATGTATGTTGTATGCATTTTAATTGATGAAATTCTGAAGTTTTTCTGTACTTTGCCTCTAGATATTGTGAATTTCTTTGTTCTTATACTCTTTGCAGATTGACTGCATTCTTGGGGTACAAGGCAGGCATGACTCACATTGTTAGAGAAGTCGAGAAACCTGGGTCAAGTATGTATCATATTTGTGTTTTTTGCAGTCTCTTATTTGATATGTATGTTGTATG